TCTCCACAGAGGATTTAAATAAAAAGTTAAGAGTATTTCATAGTGGTAGCAACAGGGAATCTTTTTCCAGATTGCATTTTGCTCTTGTTTCCAGATTTGCATATATAAATATCAGTTTTTTCTGTGCATTTTTCTGGTCAAATTGGCACACGTAAATAATACAGATAATGAAAAGCGTCCAGCTGAACCCAGTAATCATCATACCGATTTGTTTTCTCCCGAGTGCTGCTGTTAAGCAGCTAGAGCACAACACAGATAAAGGGAGCGGATGCCCCATTCAACACTAGACTCCAATTCTGCACTACAGATAATTGGGACTGCAAAAGTGGGAGCGGGACCATCAAGGAACCTTTCTATTCAACTGCAAAGTGAATGATTTTGGGCTAACCTACCATAGAGACAATTTTTGGAACCCTGTTTGGGCTTTGACCTGTTTCTCAGAGAAATCTTCAGCTCTACTTTCACTATATTTAGAAGTCACTTCCCCTTTCACTGTTGTGTGCAATAAACAATTTATTCTCCAGAGAACATTTGAAGAAAAAAAATCAACTGCCCCTCAAAAAAAAAAAGAGAAATACCCAACGTTTCAGAGAGGCTGTAGACACAGCAGCAGCATCTTCAGTATTGTTTTACACTGAAAACAGTGCATTAAGTGCATCTTTCTTTATTCTACATAAGTAATTTTCAGTATTACAACCCTTAAAATACATAAGACGCAGGTAAAATATGTAATACCTGGTGAAACATGTTTTCTTTTGATTGCTTTCTTTTTATCCTTGAAGCTATATGCAGCTGTCATTAAATAGCTGGTGCAGCATGTGTAAAAAGCTGTCTGTTATAGGCATTAGCCAGCTGAATTGCAGTCCCGGGTGAAAAATCATCTGCAGCAACAGTTGAGAACATTGATAAGGACACAGAGGTGCCGTCAAATCCTCACCTGTCTTTTAAGACTTGGCTGCCTAATTTTATTTATTTGCTATTTTTAAAGGTCAGAGGTTGCAATTCAATAACTATTGTCATTATTTCTAAATTTTAAGACAATCTGTACTTGGCAAAATGAGTAATCAGGCCGTATGATTTACTCATGTAAAAAGCAGTGTCTATGGAAGCCCACAGCATCAAGGCCTCTGGGCAGAGGCAGAGAGAGCAGCTCTGCCTGACCCTGCTGAAAAAGCAAGGCAATAAGCAAACAAACATCCCCCCAAACTACCTTGCTCTATGTTCTTTTGTCCAAAACTGAACACTGAACAAATTGGGTTATTTTTCTCCTTACTTTCTTGCTTCACTTGAAGTATCACTGGCCAAATTGTCCACTGGAAGAAAACAGAAGCAGTTTATTACAAATTTAAAGAGGCATTGCCAGATTTAGACCCCTGCTAGATAAGAAACAGATAAATTTTTACAGGATAAACCTTCTAACTTTTTATGTACTAATAAAATAGTTTCATTTCAAGAAGCTGAAAACATTCTTATCCAAACAAGTCTGTACCTAGCCCTGGGATTAGGGATGAACTTTTGGAGGATGCTGTGGCTGACCTAAGTTGGCCATTCACAGTGACTTTTCATACACAGCTGTTACCACAAGTATGTCGAACTTGACTCAGTGTGAAACTGGATGAAAATTCCATGGAATTAGCTGCCTCATCCTTGCTCAGCAGTATTGCTATTACTTTGGACGAGTTACCGAGCTGACTGCCTAGCCCAGATCCACCTTCCTGCAATTGCAGTGACTGCCATCGTTACTGTGACTGGGACAGCTTTGGAAAAACATCCCTTGACAAATTACAAGTAACTGACTTTTATAAATAAAAAGGGTCATGCTTCTTGCACATTTGTTAATCCTGTTTTCTGGTGTTATCTGCACCACTTGCCTGGTGCTCCTCTCAGTCTGAAGGTGACCGCTACACCTCAGAACGTACCAGGTCAGAGGCTGAGTTTTCGCGACGAAATAAATGCTGCTTATTCAGATGGTGCTACAAACTTTGGATGCAGTTAACAACTGCACTCCCAGCGCGTAATGCTTTTGCAACATTTGGTTGATCCTATTTTGTTTTAATAAACAAAGGCTGCCTACAAGTGATTTCTGCGTAGCAGTTAAGTATTACCTCCTGTGAAATATTCCTTTCTCTAGTTACAGTTAGGCATAATCAGGGTCTTTTGTTACAGTAGAGCATCAAACTTTTTGAGGAAACAGTGGGAACAGCATATAAAATAAAAATGCACGCAGGCCACATGCTTTACTGCAAAGAGGAATTTGCTGAAAGGGTTATTTATATGCTTTTGAGAAAAGGCTAAGAAAAAGCACTCAGCAAGGAGGCCTGGGACACAAGAAGCAGTAGTGGTAATAAGGAGACTCTGCTGCATTGGCAGAGGGGAGAAGTCAAACACGAGCTTATGTGCCAAGTGCTGGCTACAGGACGAGTGGATTAAAACCAAAAGCACTTTGTGCTCCCACTTGTTTCTTCAGGTAAAAAGGGACATTTATCCGAGTGCTTTTTTTTTTTTTTTTTTTTTTTTGTTAATGAACACAACTGCACCAAAGATATCTCATACCCCGTAACCAAATTCTTCTTATAAATGCAACATGGCCATTCCTGTAACAGATTCATTTATACAATCATAAACAAGTGGATTTCCTTGCACTACCAAGTTTGTGGTTTTAAGTAAATAACCAAGCACAAAATCAGGACAAAGGTATTTTTAGTAGTTATGTGGTTAAATTACTTAATGAATTAAGGCCATGCATATAACCTAATTTTCAGACATTAAGAATTATCAAAGGTTCTCTATTTACAGAATCTTGGTTTTGTTTCTGCATTTAGAACATACAGATTTGTTGAAAATGAGCCTTCTCCTCCTGTGGCTACAAGATTTGATGAAGAACTGTCAATCACCCAAGTATGGTACTTCTCAATTAGGTTCATTTAGATACTACCTACTGCAGAGAAATTCTTTGCGAAATCTAGGGCTTCTCACTTGGGCTGTGGGCTTTTAGCAGCTTTACTTGCTGCTTGTGCAACATGAACGTGTTTCTGAAATGCTTTTGAGCAAAGTAAGATACTTGGATCAAATCAACATTAAAAAAAAACAGTGGGAAAAATGATAAATGCTGTTCTTATAAAATTACATGAATTATCACATGCACTACCTACAGTAGCAGCTAACTTTCACAGCAACTTTTTTGGCTACTTTGATAGTAACACGGTACTAGTTTTACTTAAAAGTTCCGAGTTTTCTATTTTCCAGAAATAGCCTAGATAAGCTCTTCTCTTAAAGAACATACTCAGTACAACATACAACTTTGAGGGGGAAGTAATGAGTGGAGAAAGGAGTAATGAGGTTGAGATCACTAATTGCCACAGATAGGGGAATTCCTGTTTGACACAGCCAACAACTGCTGTAATCTTTGCTGGTTGTTGTAAAAGGGTGTCATGAACAGGTTTGGGTTCTCCAGAGAAAGATGAGGGCACCTAGGCCATCTAACATGTTTACACTAGACAGCATTTGGCACAGAACGGATATTTAAATATATAAAGCATATCTCCTTGATACTTACTTCTCCCATTGTGCTTTATAGAATAGAGATCTTGATCCATCATGCCCAAATCCCACATTCCTTAAGGGCTTCCTCATCGCAGCCTACTAACTTTTCCCTTCTGTTACAGACGTCCCTAGAACTCCTCTGTTATTGGGTAAAACAACTAAGATGAACCTTAAGTGGAGAAAATTAGCTTTATTTATGCAAATTAGAAAAAGGGATTGTTAGAACTTTGGTCAGATGGTTAATTCTGTACAATTTACAATTATATTTATATACAAAACATAATAAAATACAGTACATCACACTTCCTGAGTCACAGTGTGTTTCTCAGTTCTGCAAATGCCTTTTTTTTTTTTTTTTTTTCTGTTTCCTCCCCACTAGTTTCAACAAAGAAATACTATCCTCAGTTTGACAGTGTTTGGGTTAGGTAACACTGGCATTAAGAAAGAAGTCAATACACTATATGTAGAAAATACTTCATAGTCATAGCAATTTTAATAATTATTTTTCTATATTAAAATGTTCCTTGATAAAAAAAGATAATTTAATACTCCTTAATATGAGTTTGTTGTACTTCATTTAACACAAGACAAGCTGACATCAAATATTTCCTTCTCTAGTTCCAGAGATATGTATATTAAGGAGAGTTACATGTATATATAACTGATCATCTAAAGATCAGGAAACATACATCCAGATATAATAGATGTCTGAATCAGAGGCACAGTATATTAAAATTGCTGTCCTATCTTGGACAAGATATGTGAGCTTCAATGGCCTGGCGAGCACAACACAAGGTGAGCACAGCTATCCACCCGGGCGAGTGACGAGGTCCAGCAGCAAGGCCCCAAGCCTGCAAACCCCTGCGTGGCCACACCAGTCCTGCTGCAGAAAGCTGCTGCGCCTCACGGAGGAAGCATTACAAAGGTCTATTTAACAGCATTTGTTAAATTGTGGCCAGCTCAACAAGTTCTTGGAATTAAAGCTATCAATACTTATTGAGCTGAGGTTTTTCTTTTTTTCTTTTTTTTTTTGAGATCAAACAGTAATTTATAGTAAGGCTTACAATCTGTTTACTTAATGCAGAATGTTACATTATTAACTAGGATGGAGTACGGCCTGCAAGTAAATTTATATCCCAGTTAAATCTAAAGCCCAGACTAACTTATTTTCGATATACGCTGATTTAAAATAAAAATAATTTTACTTAATGAACAAATGTGGGCTGCTCCTAAATTGATCTACCATTATTATAGTGTTTTTTTTTTTTTTTTAAAAAAAACACTGGCATGTATTTCTGGTATTTTAATACAAAATAATCCAAAAATACAGATTGGATAACCTCTGATAACTTCCCATGGTGATTCAGCGCAAACTTAACTATATGTGAGGTCAACTCTTCCTACTCTGATTAGAATTAAAAGGGACATTTTTTTTTTTTTTGCCATCAATATCAAAGTGCATAAAATTACAGTATGAGACTTTAAAGAAAGTTGGTCTTCAGCTGGATACTTGAACTTTTCCCAGGATTCTTTCCATGTTTAGCAGTCTTCACTTTGATGCTTTCCTGATTGCCTTTTACAGCTGATTCCAGCCTGGCTTTCATAGTTGGAGAGGAAGCGATTAGTTTTTTGAAGACTAACGAGTACTGTGGACCAATCTGCATCAGATTTTGCAAAGCAAACTCATGTAAGTATTTTGCTGAGTTTGTAGCAGACACCAGGGCATTTTCATCCAAAAGAAAGGAAATAAGGATGGGCAGAAGGCAGGCCACCAAATGAGCACCTAGAAACAAACAAACAACAACAACAAAAGAAGACACATTTTTGAAGAGCAGCTTCAAGTACTAGCTAGAAGTATTTCTCTCATGGACCAAATGAAGATTTAACACAAAGTAGCAACTTTATATTATTTTACTGTCTAGCTCAAATAACTGTATTTTTATTAATAATTTTGTTAGCTATTTACCCTTAAGGACTCGATTTCCTAGGGGTATTTTTTTCATTGATTTATCTGTGGCAAATTTCAGCGTGCCTAATGCTCTCCATACTAGCAAGGGGAGTACTTACGGTGCTCTTCCTCAGCTGCAGCCGTGAGAGCTACAATCACCTTGATTCCCTCCTGGACAACTTGAAGTTCAGCAGCATTCTCAGGTTTTGCTTTTTCTGTTTCCTGCAATTTTCCCACAATGGATGGTGCTAAAGAATGGATATAAGGATACGACACAGTTTTGTTTGGATGCTGAAAGATGGAGTGCAGCAGCTGGTAGCATTTATGCTGTACCTAAAAGGAAATTCAAACTTGCAGTTACGAAGAGTTACACATAAAAATACAAGTCGGTGTGTTTTAAAACCTACAGCTTGTCCGCTAAAATTTTAGAGGAAAAATGTGCCTCAACTTGAAAGCTCATCAGGTCACAGGCTACTAATGAATTATAGCTAGTAATCAAGTCATTAACAGAAACTAGAACAGAAACATACTTCCATACTTCTTTCGACTGAGTCCTACATCTTCCTAGATGTTCCAGTTAACAGTTAAGTCTTTTTTTTGTGTGTGAAGATTGCACCTTAATACTATTTTGAAAAATAAATCCATTTTTGAAAAAAATACAATTGACTGTGCTTAGAATGCAATTGGTACCTTTGTCAAACTAGAGGCAAAATTTTAAAAAGCCTCAAGTCACTTAAGCAGCTTATGTGTTATTGGAAGTTAACAGCTAAGTGCCTGCAGCATTTTTGAAAGACAGATGCATTAAACACTTAGATAACATTTGCAAATGCATGATGTATGCTACTAGCATTTTCTTGCAGTCATATTTGGCATTCTGTGCTTCCTGTCAGTGGAAACCAACATTTATAATACCAGACATACTAATGTTTAAAGGTATCTTTTACAGATGATTTATCAAGTTAAAGGTAACATTTTTATCTTTTTTTTTCTTTGCTACTACATGAATATATAAAGAGAAGATGAAAAAAAAAAGTTCACAGAAAATTTTCGTATTATCAAAACAGAAAATCTAATGCATATTATTTGCACAGTTGGCCTTTGACTTTTGTAAACACTGTATTTACAGTAACAATAAACAAAAAGGTTTTTTGTTTATTTTCTGATATGCAGCTTTTTTAGGTGAAGAATAACAATATACAACCTGTGGTACTACAGTCTAAAGTTACTAGATAAAAATACTTGTATTGGGTTATAACAAACATTAATCCAGTTATATACTTGTCCAGCAGCATCCAGCAGCATCCAGCAGCTGATGCCTAAGACACAAGTTCTGCAGTGCTGCTTCCTCAATACACTCCCTGGCTCCCAAAGAAGCAGTTCCTGCAGCTTAGGGAGTTCCCAAGAGAGAGAGAAAAAAAAAAAAAAAAAGGTATCTCTTTTTGGAAGATAAAATGAACAGATAAAATGAAACAGGTGCCTGAAAAAAAAAAAAAATCACTGCTGAATATGTTCTTGCTAAGTTGTTTAAACTGTACCTTAAATGGAGTAGGTCTATACGGGATGAAATTAACTGGGCTCAACACACAGGGCCAACGAAATAACTGAGCAGAAAATGAGCTAACACACACTTAAACATGTTGTTAAAAGAAATACTCTTGTAATTGGACGAGTACTTACAAAAGGATCTTTCAAGTGAAGCGTTAACTGAAACTTCTCAAGGCAGCGGCTGTGCAGGCAGCCCCCGGCGGCCACCTCCGGGCTGGCAGACACCACGAACACCGTCAGGGCCGTGAGCAGGCTCACTTCATCCAGCGGGAGCTCAGCTGCTGTCAACAGAGCAGGCCGTCTGTTAGACTGGCACTAGAAGGTAAAGCTGTAGACTCAAATGTTACAAAGAGGGGAAAAAGAAATATCTTCATCTCTGCGAATCCCTTTTCTCAAACACTTGCATGTCCATGCGCTGTACAGCAGCCTATTTTGGCAATTACATAACATTTGTGTTAAGAACATGAGTTATTTTGATATGACTGAGGTCACTGTTTCTCAGTTTGCAATAACAACACTCCAGTAACAAACTGGAACTTAGAAATTAAATAAAAGAAATCATAAAGGCAATACAAATCATCAAGGAGGAAACTAATTGCTTTTATTTTATTAAAAACAAAATTCAAGAGAAATATGACCAACAGCGTACTTTTTAAAAACAGTTACACCTGTGGTAAAAGAACAGTTATACCTGTGGTCAGATGTAGGCAACAGAAGGCAAATTTAGACAGGCTACATGGACAAATTCAGTGACAGCAAGCTGTGCGTCGTAGCAGGACGACAACAAATGTTCAAAGTCCAGAGAGTTACTGTGTGCCAGAAAAGTTGCTTGCACAAGATGTGGCAAGCAAGTTCAGGGAAATCCGAGGAGGTAGAAAGCTTGCCACATATTCTAAGAAATCCTGATTTTACGATTTGTGGTTACAGGGCTTTCTATTGGCAATTGCTTTAGATAAAGCTCCCAGATTGCCTTAGAGAAAAACAAACAAACAAACAACAAACCCAGCAATAATAATTCTTATCCTCCTTATAGTCCTGTATCATGGTCAGCCATGAGGCAGAGGTTTAAACACAATCAAGACTTCAAGCAGCAACATACAGGAAACAAACATAGAAGTATTTTTTCTTAAAAAAAATCCTTTACTTTTAAAACAGACCTTAATCCTCTGTACAGAGCTTAGATATTTAATGCTTGTCTATACACTGAAACCATAAGTCCTGCTTTCATCACACCATGCAACTCTGCACTGTGGCAGCATCACAGAATATAAGAGGGAAGCTGCAATCCCACATTTATCCTTTATAGATACTAATTCATCATATGAACTGTAAGGAAAGACAGCAGCAGTTTTGCAGCAGTTTAATTTTAAGCTCACTACTCTAGAAACACAGTAGTTAAGAGAGAATGTTATTCTTAGAGCCATGCTGACATGATTAATGTTTAACTGGGGCTAGGAGAGAGCTATTACAACAAAACAATATAAAATGTAAGAATGCCAAAGGGACTTGGTTCTCTCAGAATAAATATACATCACAATATATCTTTAACTACTTTGGACATAGACAAAATAATTACAAGAAAGGCTACGGTTTCATGCATACAGAATGCTTTAAAAAGGACTTTACAGACTTGACACTTTGAAATTTATGTGGATTAGCACTTTTTAAAATGTGTTTCATCATCACTTTGTCACATAATATATCAATTAGTTTCAAAAACCAAATATCATTTTATACAGCATATTCACATGTATACACTTGTGTATTTTTGCATAATTATCTTCAACCCAAGCTGAAAGTGATTAATTTGGAAAAAGATTTTTTAAATCAAATTTTCCTGTACACATGAAAGCTATATAAAATATTTAATTCTGCTCAGTATGGTTATTGCAGGGAAGAGATATGTTTTTGGAAAATGAAAAGGGAGAATCAGGAAAAGAAATGCTAGTGTGTGAAGACACGAGCATTGCTAGTGTGTCAACAGTCTCCCATAACATCCTCATGGGAAAACTCCGGAAATGTGGACTGGACGAGGGGACAGTGAAGTGGATTGAGGACTGGCTGAATGGTAGAGCCCAGAGGGTGGTGATAAATGAGGCCGAGTCTACTTGGAGACCTGTGGCCTTGTGTCCCACAAGGGTCAGTGCTGGGCCCGGTGCTCTTCAACTTGTTCATCAATGACTAGGACAAGGGCACAGAGTGCACCCTCAGCAAGTTTGCAGATGACACCAAACAAGGAGGAGCGGCCGACACTCCCGAGGGCTGTGCTGCTGTTCAGAGAGACCTAGACAGGATGGAGAGCTGGGCAGAGAGGAACCTCCTGAGGTTCAACAAGGACAAGTGCAGGGTCCTGCACCTGGGGAGGAATTACCCCAGGCACCAGGAGATATCAGGGGTTGACCTGCTGGAAAGCAGCTCTGCAGAGAGGGATTTGGGAGTCCTGGTTGACAACAGGTTAACCATGAGTCAGCAATGTGCCCTCATGGCCAAGAAGGCCAATGGGATCCTGGCCTGCATCAGGAGGAGCGTTGCCAGCAGGTTGAGGGAGGGGATCCTGCCCCTCTCCTCAGCTCTGGTGAGGCTGCACCTGGAGTATTGGGTGCAGTTCTGGGCTCCCCAGTACAAGAAGGACTTTGAGCTTCTCGAGAGGGTGCCGCATGGAGCGACAAAGATGATTAAGGGACTGGAGCATCTATCGTATGAGGAAAGACTAAGTGAGACTAAGTGCATTTTAAAGCCACATTGTTTCACTGATAAAGCTTTAGAAAATGGTCTCACAAACCATATTTTCAGTTGTCATAGAATCAGATCTTCAAACCAGCTGATATCAAACAAACTACAAGGAATTGTCATCCATGAAAGAACTATAAAATCTTCATTTGTGCTGCAAACGACAAAGAAATTGGTTCCTACTACAACTAGCATGTAGACTGAGGACAAAGCAACAACAGCTGTTGTGCTGAGTAATACTATGTTTGGACCAAGGAATAAAACAAATTTATTCTACAGACATTAAGCAGTTTTAAGCATTCATCTGATTTTTCTGACTGAGATATTAGTCTTTTAGATTCGCATGGAATTGGTCCAAATGAACCACCTTTCACTGCTCGTTTTTTTGAGCACATAGGCACAACCAAATCTGTGCTTACTTTGATCCCAGCAGTCGAGCACTGTGACTAGAGCGCTGCGCAGAAGCTCCGTCCAAGCAGCCCGACTCTTCTCCGCTCGAGCCATGGGCGAAGACACGAGCCCTCTGAGGGCCTGCAGAGCCGCAGCCACGGCCAGAGGTAACTGGCCCCCATGCAACTTCACAGCAGTTTCCTTGAGTACTCCAATTATAAGGTACAAGATAGTGGGAAGAACTGAAACGCTTCCTGCAAAACAAAGCAAATGAGTATCACAGCAGTGAGAAACATGCAGGCACCTTTGACGCTAAAAAAAAAAAAATTGAAGTGCTTTGCTTGGGGTTCTCTTTTTTATTTATAATTTATCATTTTAATTACTAGTGTGAACATAAACACTAGTAACTTGAAAAAAGGTTTCAAATATCATGTGACTTACAATACCAAACTTGCAGCCAGACTGCTTAAGTGATGTTAAACTTCTTTTCTCTTTTATATTAAAAAAACAATATTTTTACCTTGTAGGTTGTATTACATGAAGTGAGTATTTACTTAAGATTCAGAGAAAGACAACAAGAGAAGAAGCACTGAGAAGCACTAAGAGCTGAGAAATTATTAAAGTATATGAACTATTGAACGGTGGAAAAAAAAATATGAGCATCTGAGTACCTTTTGCAAGGAAAACAATATCGTGAACCAAATTAACAGGTAGCACTTTCAAAACCAGTAAGAAGAAATAGTTCTCCCACATAAAGTGTAGTTAGGCGAGGATCTCACTGCTCCAGGAAATCATTAATGTAAAGAATTTAGCAAGACTACCAAGAAGCTCTCACAATGCAAACAGGTATAAGGAATATCCAGGATTATAATAGCAAAGTCTAAC